TTAGTTCAAGGACTGTTTGTTGGCCTTTAGGAGTGTTTTCCAGTCCAGTCTGTTGGGGCACCAAGCCCTGGCCCCAAAGTCCACCTTTGGCATTCCCTGGGGACCTCACGGCTCCGTTCCCTTGCTGTTCTGTTGTACCCCCTTAGTGTTTTGTCTTGGTGTGGCGGGATCAGATCGGGTGCAATTCTCCCACTGTGTCTCCAGTGTTGTCCCCTATAGGGCTAAGGGTCAGTGAGGGATGTCATGTCTCATAGTGGGGCTGGCCATGTGGTCCTCTCTGTCCAGACTGGCTGCTCTGAGCTGGAACATCGTCCTCAAGGACTGGTGGGCCAGGATGTGCTCCACTCTCTCCTCCTCCCCCTTCATCTGCTCCTGTGTGCTCTGATCAGATATGTCCCTCTCCCGGAGCTGCAGATTCAGTGCTGTCCTCCGAAATAAATTCTTCTGTGGGGGAGGGGCAGGTGTCCCCATAGTTGGGATTGGGGCCAGCCCCTCAGGCAGTAGGTTTTTGAGTGAGTATTAGTTCCATTTCTCACAAATCTTTTGGAGACTCCTGATATCATCTACCTTTTACTAATGGATCATAAGTTAATTATTATCCCATAATAAGTCCCCACGAATCCATCAACTAACATGGAAACTGGAGCATTTTCAATAATTTATCTGTAAATTTGTGTTAGTCTGGGTTGACTAGAGAAATTCATTGATGCTCTTATGTGTGTAAGAGATAGCTTTATATCAAAGAGCAATTTTATATTGAGAAAACATCCCAGCCCAGTCCAGATCAAATCCATACGTCTGATAATAGCCCATCTGTCTTATACTAGTCCATAAATTCCTCTTTAGACTCATGTAGCCATGCAATGATGCCGAATGCAGGAAGATCATAGATCAGTGGGTGGAAAGTCTTGTGGATCCAGTGGTGGTGAAAGCATCTCAGTGCTGGTGTGGGTCTCCACGTGGCTCCTCCAGCTCCAGGCTCTGGCTGCCATCAGCGTGGCTCCTTGTCATCAGGAATGTGAAACCGAGAGTGCGTCCCAACTCCAGTGAGAAAGAGAGGAAGTTCCCAGAATCCTTGTCAGAAGGTCACACCTACAAGGAAGCATGATCGGGCTGTGACCTGAAGGACAGGCTAGACTACCCCCCTTCACTGTTTATCAAGTAGACACGAAATTATGTAACTGCCACAAACTTCTTGGGGTAATCAGCCTCTGAGATCATATGCTTATCGTTCTGTTGCCTTTAAACAAAAATTGAGTTGGGTTGTGTCTCTGATTCCTGTAAAGTCCAATTCCAAGCTTAGCTTTTGAATGTAATCTTCTGAGACAGTTCACACTCCATGGAATTTCGCTAAGTGTCTTTCAGGTTTTGTATGAGGTAGTCCGCTCACTGCGAATATGCTCCGGTGCCCCCTGGTGGGATTACGTCTGGCTGTCTACCCTCAAGCAGACGGGCAGGTGGACGTGTTGTTCCCAACAGTGGAGTATTGCAGGTGGTACCACGATGAACACAACCGAATACAACTCCTGAGGTTTGTTTGCAAGAGTTTCTCTGAGGTATAGACCACAGAGCGGGAGTGTTGAGGCCAAGGGCATGTCGATGCGCATCTCTACAAGAGAAACCCTTGAGGTGATTCATAAGCTGAGGTGAACAGTGGGAATCCTGGTTTGGACTGTCACCAGTAGAGACTTTGAAGTGTTTTGGCAGACTAATACCATATGGTCTGTTCTTAGCCTTATAAGTTTATTTCAGGCTCTAGGTCACAACAAAGGAGGAGACCTAGTGGCACAGTGGTTATGGGTTTGGCTGCTAACTACAAGGTCATCAGTTCAAAACTACCAGATGCTCCACAGGAGAACGATGGGCCATTGGGAGTTGGACTTGACTCAATGGCAGGGAGCGATCACCCAATTAGTGTTCCTCTGACTGGAAGCATGACCCCTTCATGTACTAGCTCTGACTGGAAGCATGACCCCTTCATGTACTAGCAACGAAGGCTGGGGCTACGGGGGAGGACTGTGTTTGTGCAGTTTACTCTGGTTGGTTTTGTTGTAGGGGAGATGAATCCAGTGTTTGAGGTGCTTTCTGGTGTCACAGGGAGGCCCGTTGTTCCGTGTAGCTGAAGAATGCCGTGGATTCCTTCCTGTCCTACACAGGGCAGTTTGGGTCACCAGCAGAGGCCCGTGGTTGCGTCAGTCCTTAGTCACTGAAGAGGAAGGGGCTCAGCTATATTGTTTCTCAAGTGCACCATCTGGTGAATCTCAAAGTTGGTTTCTGTTGAAGGCCCTTTTTATTTCATTTTTCCTTGACTTAACGTTCCTCAGTGTTT